GAACAAGGTGAGGCTACATGGAAATTAATATTGAAATATTAATATATTGGTGCAAATTATGTTTGAATGATGTTTATTAAAGATACAATTAGTCAAAGGAAATGTAAGTATTCTAAAAATAGGATGGTATCAGATTAAGTCATACTCAGACCCACTGAAATCAGTGGGCTTAAGTTAGTCATATCCATGTCAGTGAGTCTACTGTGAGAATGACTTGGTTAAATATGGCCCGTACACTTCAGTTGAAGAATGTCAATTTTATAACAATATAAAAACCACTTTTGCTAATCTTCATTTAATTAATTGCATCAGCTTAATTTCTTAACTACTTGATCAAGAACAGTTTGTTAAAACATGGGAAGCATTTAGTTTTAAAATATTTTAATAATAAGTTTTGATTTCACTTATTGTAGTTCAGGTGCTCATATTCATTTTCAAGATTGTACATTTCTTAAGCCTAATTTACAAAGAAACAAAACATTTGCTGTCTTTCATTTCTTTGTGTTTTCATTGATGCAAAAATGGATTTCATTCATTAAAGTATTTATCCTCTGTCTCTCCCATTTAAAGTAACTATAGTTTAAATAAGCTAGGATCATATCCCATGGTTTGAAATTGGGTGGTTTTGCAACTGACCATAGTTTGTGTTAAACCGGTATTCCTTGGTTCAGATGATTTAGGAATTTGTGACTAGTTAAAGGTAAATGTTTTCCAAGACTTTTCTGGCTCATTCATGTCACAATAAACCATGTTGTGTTGTTAGAACACCACCATTTTGTGTGTCAACAGCTACTTTCTATGAGTACACTTGTTCTGCGATCATATTAGCAAGGATTCCTTTATCTAGCCCATTGCCTTTTCTTTATATTCATCACTTTATAGCAGATACATTTTTTGAAAGTTGGTGATGCGCATCTGCCTGAAATTCATGCGGTATTCCTGTAACATAGGTGACTTCTGAACAAGTGACAAATTACAGAGACACTGCTAGAAAAAACATTTTTGCTTAGCATTTGCAAAAGTGACAAAGCAGTATCACATCATGCATTTGTGGATTACACATTTCTCACATCACACCCATTTCATAAGAGTAAATACAAAATTGACAGTACTTTGTCCTGTTTAAAAGTTGAGCTGCCCTAAATAGCACCTATTCTGCATTGTGGCTCAGATTCCATTTTGGTTTATAAAGGAATATAACTCCCCTCTTACTAAAATTTGAATACCCTCTTTCTCTTTACTTACCTCGGGAGAAGGGGAAGAACAAACACTGGGGGCAGAGTTAATATTTAAGGACAATATTGCTTAAAGTCAAAGATAATCCAGTCAAATATTTTTTTAGTTCAGTACTTAGAATGCAGGTTAATAAAATATATTTGAATAATACCAAAGCCTCACTATGTATTTTTTGCCTTTTGCAATATTGAACTTGGCTGATAAACAAAAGCTATTCCAAATAGGCAGTATGGCCTTTCCTTATGACAGTTTCTTAGTATTATACAGAACAGGTTAACAGAAGACAGTCCCACCATCCCTGACTGCTTGGCCTGTTCGAGTCCAACAATATGTGGCAGGTCCCTCACCTTAATATCCTACTGACACCTGTATTCCAACTGCATGTAGGTCTTTGTGGGAAGGAAGCCGTGATAACACTATCTCTTGTGTAGTTGAGGTTTCAAGGAGGACTGTGCCTGAGTTAGCCAATCCCAGAGTACTTGAGCACAGGGCTATATGTACTCTTAAATCAGGCATTCCCAAACTCAGCCCTCCAGCTGTTTTGGGACTACAACTCCCATCATCCCTAGCTACAGGACCAGTGGTCAGGGAGTTTGGGGATGCCTGTCTTAAATACTTAAGAAGAAGAAAAGTTGCTGAACTAGGGTAACCCTTTCCGAATTCTACAACCTCTATTATGCATTTCCCTTTCACCTCGTTTTGTTTCTATCATTTACCTGCTCCTAACCATGAAGGAGAGGCCAGGACCAGCGAGGAGCCCTCAAGCCCCCACTCTACCTCACTAGAAATATTATGCAGCCATATTGTCACCCTGGGCTCCTTTGTGAAGAGGTGTAGAAAAAAGAAATTAAACATAATACTATATTTGGCGTCTGAGTTTCACAAGTCATTTATCACATATGCTCCAACCCTTGCGGTAAAAACAAAGAAGCCAAGGTTCTCAGTAACCTAAATTCTGAGCCTGAAACCATATTCCCGTGTAGCAGTTAATGTTTCTGCTAAATTAATGTGGTTAAGGTCAGCAGGGGAAGGACAAAGGGAATTCATGCTGCAGAAGGAAAGGATGGAGAGGAGAGACAACCTGCCTGCCCACTCCTTCTTTGGTTAATGGTAGATAGCAAACCGGGAGTATTATATCTACACCAGATACCTAGTTGAGTGCACAGTGCATCTCTCAAAGCCTAGAGACTGCTTCTTTGAGCACCTGTCAGTATTTGAGAAGTATTTGTCAGTAGCTGAGGACAACATTACTGGTTTAGCCCTGAAGTGATAAGTAGTGTAGACCACCTGTTTCACACAACAGTTCCTTTGCAGCGGTAGCTGAGAGGTCACAATTTTTGTGCTTACTCATATACACTGATACTAAGCTAAAATAGCTTTCATTGGTTTACTAACAACAAATATTGAGCAACCCAAATTATTTCACTCTCTGAGATGGGTGCTGTTTGCCTTTCAGTGTTTGGTAGTCCACTTCTTCTTTCCTATGACTTGAACAGCCTCCAGGGTAACTTCTTGGTTAAATATTGTCCCCATTTAAATAAATTGCTATCCACGCAGTAATTTGCTTCTCTGCCCGTGGCAGACCATTTTCACTTATTTTGCAATTGATTTGACTCTAAACTGTGGTTATTTTCACAAAGGGTATCCATCTACCCCATGTCACCCTTCAGGTTTTGCTTTTAAAGTTTGCTTCTTGAGGAAGGGCAGTTATGTACCCTTGGTTTGTGATTTGAAGGCTGCAATAGTTGTAACTTCAATGGACGGTGAGTGATAAACATTGTTCCTCTTGCTTGTTTGCTCTTTTCCCATTTCTCTCTTGATTCCCATTTCAGATCAGCTCTTAACTGTATATCTGGAAAGGCCTTCATGAGCATGTGCTCATCAGTACATAGTTAGACCCCCCCTAAAAAGGAATATAAACAGTCTTCTTGTCAGACATAGCTTGGGTAAATGTTCTTAATAGTGGACCTTTTTACAGATATAGATTGAAATCTGTCTAATGATTCTTGAGGATGTTCAATCAGTTATAGAATACTCTGTCCAAATGCTGTTCACGAGAGAAGAAAGATGACTTTGGATCACTAGTTCTAGAAAGTATTGTCAAGTAATTAATTCTTACTTTGTATTTTTTCCCCAAAATCTGTTTTACCAAAGATGAGGATTTGTCACTTTAAGTATCCAAACAAATATGACAACTTAAAAACAGTTGCAGCATTTATTTTATTTTCAAATTCTGGTTTGGATCCAGACTTGGTTAATGCCTGCAAGACCCACTACCTAAGTAGAGTCCCACTCACGAGACATTTCCTCTGATGGAAGAAGGGGAGATGACTTTTCAGTTGCCTACTTCCCCTTCAGCTGCTTGTGTCCTCCAAAAAACAAAAAAAACCACCTGCTCCATGTGGTCGGAGAACCCTCCAGAACAGCATGGGAGGTGGTGCTGGAGTCTTCAAGCCAAAGGGGAATCAACAAGTTGCTTCATCGTGTTTCACCAGCAGATGAAACCCATCTCAGTCACTTGTAGGTGTTTAAACATAGAACTGAAATAACATACCTACAGAGATCAGCAGAACAAGAAAGCTCAAATAAATTAGGAATTAGTGGTAGATGACCATCTTAGGCTCTGTATGGAAATTCACAAATCAAATGATCATATTTCTCCTTGCAAAAAAAATTCAACATTTTGTTTTTCTAAATACACGTGTCATGTCCAACTTCACTTTTTTGTTGATTAAGCCATCTATAGAATTTGGGTGTGTGATCAACGGTTTTTAAAAACATAATTTTATAATGGGATTAAGCTGCTGTGTCCTAGGATTCGTGTAGTCAAGCATTCTTTTGTTAACAGTGACTACCTAGTTACCTCTGAATCTAATGCTTCCAGGATCTAATACTCAGAGGGGTACTGTCACTGGACATCAAAGTGCCATTTAGCTATCACAACTAGCAACTGTTGATAGGCCTATTCTCCATAAACTTTGCCTGGTCCTTTGTAAATGTGAACTAGTCATATCTTCCGGTTATGAATTCTCTAAGACTTGAAGTCTTAGTTGTGTGTTTGACTGGAGTTCAAAGAATGCCATACAAATGTTCCTAATATTTCTAATATTAGTAGAGTGACAATTTTGTACTGGTCATTTCTCTTCCCTTAGAGAGACTGAAGCTAGTAGTCCCGTATATGAGTGTGGTTCTTTAGTGTGTCGTTCATAACTTCAGAGCAGGTTGGAATTCATCTGAAAAGACTTAGGGATTTCCCTTTTCTTCAGAGTCTCTGTGCTAAAACAAGTTCTCCCTACCTCTGACAAAGTACAAGTGATGTATAAAGTTTTCACAATTCTCTAACTCTGTTCAGATTCTGTAGCATTGTCTTGCATCTTCTTCAGTAGGAAGCTGTTAGAACTTCTTTGGTAAATCTAAAGAGATCTTGTCATTGGACAATGGGAGCTTTCATCTGAAGATGTGTTTTTTCTTGCTAGTAATGAAAATCAGTGTGTTTTAACCATTGTGGTTTCAGCCCTGATTTTCATGGGGAAGGACTTAGGTTTTTCTCCATCACATGCTTAAGTAATAGTGCGTACTGTGGCAGCCCAACATTCAAGCTTCATCTTGATTTATCATCATTGCCCCATTCTCTTGATAGGGAATCAGTGTTAAATGCTTAGAGAACCACCATCTTTCACTAAAAACAGCATCTGTTTCTAACTTCAGCTTTTTATTTTCTATCTTTCATTTTCTTTTTTCTTTTTTGTTGATAAATCTCCCAGACAACAACAGTTCTGTAGAGAGTTTAAATATGAAGGAATGGCAGGACGGGCTAAGGGCACTTCTACCGAACATTAACATCAACTTTGGTGGACTGCCCAATGCTACTTCCCCCTCCAACGCCAACCACAGTGTATCAACATCCAACACTGCCACCACCGACAGCCTGAATTGGGACAGCCCTGGCAGCTGGATGGACCCCGCAATCATCACAGGTAACGATTTCTCGCTCATTCAGCTCCACTGAGAATTACCAAGTGCATATTTGGCACAAATTAATCAATGCTTTTTTTGGAAGAAAGAAAGAAAAAGCAACTCTATGCGGTGGTCTCTTCCAGCTTCCATCCACCAAACTTTCTAGAGGTCCAAGCATCTTTGGGGGGGGGGAACCAGGCATTAGCCTCCTCCATTTCAATATCCGTTGCATGTTCAGCGTCTTCCCAATACATCTTTAGACTTTAGTAGGTTGCCCTGTGATCTAATGGCTTGCCAGTTCTCTGCAATGGAATTCCTTAGGCACTGGTACATTAACTGGATTCTTTTTCATTAAAAAGGAACATACTCCACTTGTTTATAAAGCTCTCTTATAAGGCTATTTGTGTTTCCCTTTTAAAGGCTAAAGCATGATTTGGAAAAAGGTAGAGGAGCATATGGTATCTGGTAGAGCTAGATTGTGAATAAATCTCTGGACGAATGTTGCAGAAAGTGTGAAAAGTTCTCCAAGGGGCAAATGTTTCTTGTGAAAACTCAACTACTGTTTTGTCTGGAACACGGTTATAACAGTCCTTTGTACAAACTAATAATGTTTCCTTACCATCGCCATTGGTTAGGTTTAAGCTGACCTACTTCACATTTGAAGTTCTTGCTTGCTCTGACTTAACCTCTTTCTCCTCCTATGTTTTCTCTTCTTCCTAGGTATCCCAGCCTCCGCTGGAAACAGTTTAGACACCCTTCAAGATGACAATCCACCACACTGGCTAAAATCTCTTCAGGCTCTCACAGAGATGGATGGCCCCAGTGCTGCCCCGACACAGACCCCCCACAGTAACCCCTTCAGCACACAGATTCCTCTGCACAGAGCCAGTTGGAATCCTTACTCCCCACCTTCAAACCCCGCCAGTTTTCACTCTCCTCCCCCAGGCTTCCAGACAGCTTTCAGACCCCCCAGTAAAACCCCCACAGATCTACTACAGAGCTCAGCGCTGGATCGTCATTAGGAAAAGTTCAAAAACATTAGAAATGCAGGAATTGCCCCACCCAGACTTCCTACACCCACCCATGGTCCCTCCTCCACATCTTTCTTTCTGAAGAATCCAGTTCCTGATCAAAACTCTTCCCCACCAGCCTCCAAATGCAATGCAATCACAGGGTCATAACCATATCTCTTTTTTTAATTTTATTTTAAGATTCTGCTAAGCCAGTGTTTGAAATACACTGATGAATTTTCTTTAAACACACAAAGAAAAAAGAGAGAGAGAAATCAAAAAGTGCATAAAAAGGAAAATATTATTTTCATAAATCTTTTGCACGGAATTACTTTAGCCTAGCAGAAAATGTCAAGTAGGGGGAAATAATATAAAATTCAGAATCAAATGCAGCGATGTAAAAGCAGTTTAATTTAAATGAGAGATTCAAGGTATAGGGGGAAAAACCAGTGGCCTGGCATTTATTTTGCATTCTGTGTGTCAGTATGCAGGGAGATAGCCCCCCACCCCCTGTTTGGGAGGGTGGGACAGTATTGTCAGTAAGATTTGTCATGAAGTGGGTTGAAGGACAGTTTGCCTGTTGAAATAAACTGACATGTTGCCTTGTTCCTAAGAAGTGGTTTAACAGAGGGATATTTTAAAATTTTGGCTTTAGATTTCAAGTAAACGTAATGTTTTAAAAATATTCACAGATTTAATACCTAGCATATACATGATATAATTATAAGCAGCTGAAACACGAGTGATATTTACTTCAGTCTTTCTGTCTCCTTGTCAGTCTCTCTTTCTTTTTTTTTTCTTTTCTTTTTTTAAAAAAATCACCTGATTAAGGCACTCTGGGATAGCACTGCATTGGGGCCACATGATCACCATCAGGAGCGCAACCTTTGACGACCTCTGCCTGCAGCTTTTACTTAACCTTGTAGTTTCTGGACGTTTGTGCAGTATTGAAAGACAGGAAAAGAGAAACAGATAAAATTAAACATGGTTATAACCTGACTCTAAAACTAAAAACAAGGAAATGTACCTCTTTCTTCAGAATTAAAACTAAAATCTTAAATAAAACAGAAAACTTGATGACAGCTTTTTGTGAGTTCTCCTTCTTTGATTTTGTGCTCATTTTTGTCAGTTCATGTGATGGGTTTGGCAGAAAACATGCTCTCTGTGCATGCCCCATTGGACTGTTGCCCTCTCTGCCCTAGTGCCAACGTTAGCTTTTCTGTGCCATATCTTGCCCAGCTTTACTGTATTTTACTCAGTTAACATCCTGCTTTTTGGCAATGCTGTCTCCAGAGTTTTTAAATTTAGGGGAATTTCCAAAGGGGATTACAAAATTGTTTATTGTATATTGCATTTTGCATATGGGGGCTTACATAGATCAAAAATACTTACTAGACTGTGGCCAGTGTTCTGTATATTCCCACTTTTCGCACACAGCTGACTGTTGAGTATTACATGGAACTGCACATATGCATTTAAAATACACTGAGAAATAGGGTCAATATATTCAGGAGAAAGTTCAATTTCTGGTTATTTGAGCTCAGAAAATCAGTGTGCCCTTTGTGCTGTAAACAATAAAATAATGCCTTCCATCACAGCAGCCTGGTTCAGACATAATCCTAGGCTGCTTAAACCACAACTTCTCATGATGTCCAAACCAGGAAATTCTGTTTAAAGCGTTCTCTCCAAACCCTGAAAGCAGGATGGAAGCGGAAGGACTTGAAGGCAGTACAAGGACATCTATATAGCTTGTTCCAAGGCCAAATAAACCATGTTTAATGCTTCTAGTTTCACCCCAGGAGAAAGCAAGAGTGAAGCAGTTTTATGTGTTGTTTTAATCCATAGATTATAAAGTGAGATTGCATGTGTGTCTTATAATCCTACATAAAAATATACATCTTGCATTTTGGCACCCACTTAATTCTCACTAAAGACTGAAATCTTACCTTGGAGTCAGCCCAGCCTTTATGTTATGGGGAATATATTGTTTTATATCAGGAAGGCATGCCCTATAGAGCATAGTTAGAGCTCTATAGGACATGCCACCATCATCCACCTCTAAGATGAGGGCTACCTCTAGTTATGGCAAAGTTTAAAGTTGCTATGTACTCACCGTGTGAAAATAAGATTTGCATATTGTGTGCCTTTTCAGGAAAATTTAACATTTAAAACCCACGCATTTCTGTAGTTTACATTTTTAATTCGGTCTACACAATTTATATACAGGAGGTCTAACTTTTGTAATGACATTCATTTTTCTGAACATTTTTCTTGAATACAGTATTCTATCTCTGTGCATGTACAGTGTTGAATAGCACAGGCCACAAGTTAAAGAAAGTCTTTGTTTCAGACCAGATTTTCAGCCATGAAACACTTGGTGTGGACTTAAAACAAGCTGTTAGGCATTAGCATCTGATTCCATCTTCTATAATGGGGATAATACTCAAAGTTCTCAGCCTGTTGTAAAGACTACTGAGAATGTGTGAAGCATTTGGGCACTTAGAATTTGTGTGTGTGTGCCCATGTGCACATACAGAGTCTTTCCTATTCAAGCCTTGATATAAGCTACTATCTATAAAATTAGCAAATATACTGGATATTCAAAACAAGTTTTCTTTATGTGAGTTCCAAAACATTTTATCCAGTATGGTCACTTGTGCCTTGCAGCCATAGAGCCAGTGAAGATGTTTAGAAAAAGCCATGTAATCTTAGATTACTAATGAACTAGCACTGACAATAGAGTTTAATAGAAAATCCTTGCATAATGAATGCATAAGCATTTGATACATACTGTGTATAACAACTTCCATGATTGTTTAGCTGCAGTTGATCTACACACCAATTGACTTGCTCGGTATTACCAGAATTATTATTTTTTGGCCCCTGCTTTTGTTTATTGCTTTATGCCTAAATTTAGAATGTACATTTTCTCCTCCGACTTTGATGCATATCTATATATAGATTTGAAAGGAATGGATGACACCCGTTTTGTTCAGTTTACATTCTCTTCCTAACAATTATAGAAAGATGGTGGTACATCAAGTAGATGATGAATGGATTCTACATCACTCTGTAAAATATAGGTATTTAACCAAGTCCTACAATTCCACTTGTTGCTCGCAATGCCTGGTTTGGTACGAGTTGTTTTCTGGGTCCAGAGATTAAAAAGTAACCAAGTAAAATGCATTAACATAAATGATAAACATTCTATTGCATTACTATAAAGAATGTGAATTTCATAATTTCAAATTCTGTGTCTAAAAGGGTTGAAGTACAGGGACCTATTCAGCTACATCCTAGATAAATTTCCCCCCCTAAGGCAAATGCTTAGTCACTTTGTGTAGATGTGACTCCTCACAGAAGGTTGCTTCGTGTGTTGTATATAGCTTGCATTCTGCAAATGTAGATAAGTTCCAAGTTGCTGTTGAAAATCTCCTTTTCCCCTGCCAGTCGAAGTGTGTGAAAGGAGGGCTCTCCACACGCCTGGATTCTCTCTGTGTTTAAACTTGGTCTGAGCTTGCTGCTAGTGGGGTGCTGTATTCTCCAGCAATAGGGATGTCTCAAATGCAATTTTTTCTAACTGTAGCAAATGTACCCAGTAAGATCCATCATCTTGAATATAAATACGTTACCATTATTACCATCTCTGGTTTTAAGTGATCTCTAGTTCAGGAGTGGGATACTTTTGGCCCTCCTAATGTTGCTGAACTAAAACTCCATTTAGCCCCAGTAAGCACAACACAGCAAACATTGAGCGTTGTCAGTGGAAGCTTTGGCAGCCTCTGCCTACTGAGATTAGAAAGACACACTCCTTACTGAACTTCAGGCATGTAACAAAGACTTTCTTTTTACAGCGGGCATCATAAGTGTTCAGGTTTTTGCTGGTTGAATTTGTTTTGTGTATGGTTCATTTTCATGTGCACTGCTTAGGAATGCTAATGATTAAGCAGTATATAAAGTCTCAGGGATGATGGGAGTTGTAGTTCAACATCTAGAGGGTGATAATGTCCCCACCCCTTCTTTAGCAGATGATCTCAATAGGGACTTTCCTTGAGGATGTAGCAAGGTACCATGCTAATTCTTATACCAGTTACGTTTCTGCTTTTAGTAAAATGTCATTGGACAACAGTCATTACTACCACTTTCTCCCAGTTGTCCTTGGTGCAGCCTGAATCAATACATAGCAGAAACTAATCTGTCTGTGCGTCTTTTCCTGTCCCCATCTTATGACTTTGGGCCTTAAGAATTTGCCCTACATTTTCTCCTCCCCACCCTGTCACCTTTTATTTAAAATTCCCGCCTGAATAAGAGAGCTGAAGAACTTGAAAAACTGCTTGTGAGTTTTGGTTGACCCTAAATAAGGTAGCTTAAGTGTCTTTTGGTTTTGCCTCTAATAGACCAACACAGCTATCTGGTTTTGTGCAAATTTGTAGACACCCCTCCCTGGTTTCTTTTTATGGTTTACTTGGCTTGTTATGTTGTTTTGCTGAGGGTGGGGATAGGAAATCAATGACATGCCCCATTTTATGGGAGTATGGAATTACAAGGTTTGGCAGCATCTTGGTATGTGCAGTTCCCTTGTAGCACCCTTGAGCCCCAGCTTCTTACATTCATTTTTGGGAGGAGGGAGGCAGAAGATAAAGTACTTATCAGTTTCAGCTAAAGTTCCCTTGGTGGTGGCAATTCTGTGGGACAGCCCAGATGCTGATGCATATCTGCAGCAATGTTGTCAGGATCCCTAGAAGTGGCCTCACTTGTATGCGCCAGGTGAGACAACATAATCCCAGCATAATGTAAGTGACTATGACAAGCCAGATATCCAGAGAAACTAGCAACTGAGGCGTAATAATGCCACTTAGCAGTATTACTAAACCATCAAGTGGTATCAAGCTAAACAGGGCAGCTAGCTTGAGCACTTTTAACTATGCAACAGAATTGCCCCTCACTCTCCCATCTCCATCTGCCCCATGTGTACCCCATAAATCCGGTCTCCAGTACAGTCGTACCTTGGATCCCAAATGCCTTGCGAGTCTACTGTTTTGCCTCTCGAATGCCACAAACCCGGAAGTGAGTCTTCCGGTTTGTGAACGTTCTTTGGAATCCAAACGTCCGATGCGAGTTTCCTGCAGCCAATCGGAAGCCGCGCCTTGTTTTTCGGACATTTTGGAAGTCGAACGGAGTTCCGGAACAGATTCCATTCAACTTCTGAGGTACCATGTACATATTTAGGGGGGTACACAGGGGAAGGAGAAAAAGATGAACCTCCATTGCCCAGCCAGAGGTGCTTGCACTAGGAAAAGTATTTAGTTGCATACTGCCCCGTGGTATTACTTCTCAATAAATCACTTTGATTGTGTAGGAATTCTGTAGATCTAGTCATGTATTCTGTGGAGAAATAACATTCGATTTGTTTTCTACTTCCTCAGTGAATAAGACTAGAGATGACATGAAAGGTTGTGGCTTTATTCTGTCAAGTTGTCCACCTGGCTACAGAAGAAACACTTTACTAAATAATAGGGCTTTGAACCTATGCCTTGAAATAAAATAAATGTTAAAACTCACTTTTCCTTTTTAGAGCTCCCACTGTTTCACAAGTAGATGGTACATTTTCAGTAGTATGTTTCAGTTTTGAACAAGCAGCCTATATCATAGGGTTGCATGCTTCAGAATATATATGTTTTCTCTATTGTATTTTACATAAACTGACCTATAATGGCAGGTTTCATAAATTGGCTATGTATGCCATAAAAGAGCAAGAAGTCAGTTCCCACAAACTTCCATGAGTGCATTGCTGTTGGTTCATTACAAAGCGATTTATCTCGGATTCCAAAGTGCTGTCTTATTCAAAGGGTTCAGTCCTTCAGATCTTCTGTAATAAACGGAAGGCAAGGCTTGGGGGAGACTGCGATGGCAAGGTTTCATGTTCAAGGGGGCGTCTCCTGGTTTCTGAAGCAAATGAACAAACATGGAGGCAGATGGGGCAGTTCCTGGCTTCAGAACAACCTGCGGGAAGATGTGGATTTCGGAGCATAAGCTTTGCGGTGCCCATTTCTGCAGATTCTCCTGGCTCCTATTAGAAATG